CCTCCACTTGCCTGTTCCTGTAAATATTTATATTTAAAGAAAAAAAAAAGTCTAGGACTTTTCCACATATTATAGCACATTGGGCACATAGTGATGACCCTATATTGTTAAGACTAACTGGCATTCAATGAGCAATTTGGTCAATATCCTGTTAACCAACTTTACTTTCCATAACATTTTCTGGCACTCATTTCATACTGGGGCACCTGTAAGTCCAAGCTTAAGTATTTAACAACAACAAATTTAATGAAGAATCCTTGTCTTGACTGGAGGAGCTGGTGTGGTGTAGTAGCTAGATGCTCGCCTGCGGATCCCAAGGTCATGGCTTCAAATCCACACAGAACCAAATTTTGTCCAGACCTTGGCTGCCAGGTTGACCTAGCCTTGGATGGGTAAAGTCTCAGGAAGTGAAGGCGGCCGGCGTGATGTAGATCACATCACCCGTGGAGGGCCAGTTGGTCTATACAAATATGAGTCCAGCCTCACATGCCCAATGTAGACATCCTGATGGATATCTGAAAGCACATCCTTCACTGAGCTAGCATGCAAGCAACTGTGATACCATGGTCCCTTGCTTGTAAGTTCATTACTTATACACTAACTTTCACTCCACAAACCAATTACAGAGAACCGACAGCAAATATAATTCAATAATCTTGAATTGTCTCAGACATTGGGATCAATCGTGAATTGTCTCAGTGATTGGATCAATCTTCAATTGTCTCAGTGATTGGGATCAATCTTGAAAATTCTTCTTTATGTTCTCGCTCCCATTTTGGTTTTCAGATGAGAAGGTCATGAGCTTCTCTGACTGTGGAGCAGTCTCCCAGCCTGGTTTCTACTGGAATGCCAACTGGCCAAACATGGAATTCCTCTCCTGCATGTAGAAAGGATGTCTGTAGCACATGTAGAAAGGATGTCTGTAGCACATGTAGAAAGGATGTCTGTAGCACATGTAGAAAGGATGTCTGTAGCACATGTAGAAAGGATGTCTGTAGCATATGTAGAAAGGATGTCTGTAGCACATGTAGACAGCATGTCTGTAGCACATGTAGAAAGCATGTCTGTAGCACATGTAGACAGCAAGTCTGTAGCACATGTAGACAGCATGTCTGTAGCACATGTAGAAAGCAAGTCTGTAGCACATGTAGACAGCATGTCTGTAGCACATGTAGAAAGGATGTCTGTAGCACATGTAGAAAGGATGTCTGTAGCACATGTAGACAGCATGTCTGTAGCACATGTAGAAAGGATGTCTGTAGCACATGTAGAAAGGATGTCTGTAGCACATGTAGAAAGGATGTCTGTAGCACATGTAGAAAGGATGTCTGTAGCACATGTAGAAAGGATGTCTGTAGCACATGTAGAAAGGATGTCTGTAGCACATGTAGAAAGGATGTCTGTAGCACATGTAGAAAGGATGTCTGTAGCACATGTAGAAAGCAAGTCTGTAGCACATGTAGAAAGGATGTCTGTAGCACATGTAGAAAGGATGTATGTAGCACATGTAGAAAGCATGTCTGTAGCACATGTAGAAAGCATGTCTGTAGCACATGTAGAAAGCAAGTCTGTAGCACATGTAGAAAGAATTTCTGTAGCACATGTAGAAAGGATGTCTGTAGCACATGTAGAAAGGATGTCTGTAGCACATGTAGAAAGCATGTCTGTAGCACATGTAGAAAGCATGTCTGTAGCACATGTAGAAAGCATGTCTGTAGCACATGTTCAGTATTCTGTAGTGCCAGTCCACCTGGGCAAAGTTCTATTTCAAATCTTGAAATTCTTGTACACATGGCTGTAGGGTCTATTGTGTTCAGTAAGTAAGTAAAGGCTCTTTTTCCATGCCTTTAGGTGTATAGGGCATGTGCTGCTACACCTATATTTTTATAGATGATGTGGTCAGCATCACGCCGACCGCCTTTACTTCCCAGGACTGCACCTGGTACCCACTCAAGGCTTGGAGTCAAGGTCATTTTTTTTTAAAAGTCCGGCTCTGCCAGGGAGCGAACACATGACCTTCCAATCCGCGCGCAAGCATCTAGCTGCTATGCCACAGCGACTTCCTTACTGTGTTCAGTATGCAATGTAAATAAATTGTTTCTTTCGTGTGAGGAGGTAAAATGGTGATGCATGATTCAGAATTCAAATACAAACATTCCATACACACAAACCTTTTTCTCTTCTGCAACTGATCTCACAAAGGAACACGGGCACTGCGCCAACTCACAGCACATCCTTTACAGACTTGTTCATATTGGTGCTAAATACAATGTGATAAAATGTGACTGGAAAACTCAACGAGGGAATAAAAGAGACAACATATTTCCTGCTGACCCTAGTTGTTTAGAAGCTCTGTTGACTTATCCATATTTTTCCAGTCACAGTTGTGTTGTATTCAGTACTCCATTGATAAAGACTGGTCGAAACATTTGCTTTTATCACTGTGATCTTTTTTCATTTCCTCCGCTGAAACGTGTGGTAAGATTTTATGTTCTAGTTAGCACTTTTTGTCATCAGCTTGACTGTCGTCACCCCGATTTGATCATATTGGTTTGATTCTGCAGCTTAAGGTTTTCTAAGGTGTGAGGTAGCCAGCCTCACACCACTTCTGCTTAGTCCCCTCTTACAATCCCCGTGTGGGATCCAGGGTCTCAATTTGGGGGAGACAAGAATAGACTCACTGATCCCTTACAGGCATGACAAAACGGTCGACTAACTGGGATGACTGACCGAGAAGAACACCAACATCCTACATGATCTGAGCGTTGAGGAGAATTGGCTCACAAACAGCACCCTGTCCCGAAAGCTGAGGATATTTTGGCCATGTTATATGTCACGTGACCTAGAGAGAATGGTATGGTAGTTTCCAGAAAATGAAGCACAGGCAGACCTCTGTGATGAATACAAGACATTGTCTAGGAAGGCACACAGGGCTGGAGAATTGGTTACAGAAATGTGTGCAATGACGACAGCGATGTTCTGTTAATTCATGATGATGAATTAGTGGTGTTCCCTACATAGTCGACATGCATTTGCCTGAGGCAGGGAACTAGCAATCTGCATACTAATAAGCCAGATTGTAAAAATGGATGTGGACATAAAACTCAAGTTCTGGAGCAAGACTAAAGTACAGGAGTGGACAAACAACCAGAACCTTGCACCAGAGCTACACTGCCGGTGAACATTATGAAGATGACCTCTTACAACAGGCATGATAGGTTCAGATGTTACTACTCTTTGTTTTGCTCAGTGGCCTAGGTAAAGGTGAGTGACAGGATCAACTTCACTGCCCAGGGTTTTATCCCACATGGCTCAGTTTCTATTGACAGAACAGCTAGCTGCCTGCCAAGAGTTTGGCACAGAGCATGACCTCCACAGCTCTGGTGACGATCCCCTTGGGATCCCCATAAAAATTGCACCTGTGACCTGAACGGTGCCGCCATGACACGAACCCACAACCTTCAGAGCGTGAGGCAAACAGCTTGACCACTTCGCCACAGAGACCCCTACAGTAACCTAGGTAACAAATGGGCAATCATTTGTTGAGAATACTGTAAATCAAGGGTACAGGTAACTAATTACATAATACTTCAATTCTGTTCTTTATAAGTTAGTAAAAGACCCATTATCATAACACTGATCGGGTGGGCATATGGTGTCAGGTCCATAATGTTCAAAAGACAAATGAGCACTCAGTGGGTGATATGGTCAACACCACGACGGCCACATTTACTTCCCCTGACATCACCTGGTATCCATTTTAGACCGAGTTAGCTTGGGATCTATTTATCAACACAATACACATTCTATCAGTTTACAACAGTGGTCTTCAACTGGCAATTTTGAAACTGAGTTCACCTGTACTTGTAATAATCTGTTTTATTAACATTTGTTTCCAGTTTAATATAAATTAAAATTTAACAGTGGTGAAAACAAAGCAGCACTGCCAGCTTGATGTGGAGAGTGCGACCTCCACTGAGCCTTGTCCACCAATATCAGACCAAAAAATAGCAGATGTCATCAAGACAAAACAGCGTCAACTATCAGACTGATATCTGGATACTAAATTACCAGCTGTTGGTGACTTTTTCTTTTACGTTTTTGTGACACTTTGATTTACGAGGCGGCGCCCCCCCCCCCCCTTTTCTAATTCTTGTTAATAGTGCTTGGGATTTTTATTTTTGTCCTCCTCTTTTTAATCAGTGGCATCGGTGGCTTAGGCCTTGCAAGTCCAACTCGTAATTCCAACGTACCGCGATCGAAAATCACTGCTGGATTGTTTTCATGGTACGGGGCATCGCAGGTCGACCCAGCCTAAAGTGAGTACCAGGATATATGTCTTAGGGAAGTAAAGACGACCGGCGTAATGCTGACCACATTACCCACCTAGAGCAGATTGGTCTGTAAAAATATTGGTGCTCTTCCCATATGCCCAATGCACCTAAGGCATGAAAAGGGATCTTTACTTTTTTTTAAAAACTTTTAAATCAAATATTGTCTAAAGTTAGGGTGGGAGGCGGTTTTGCGATATATTTAAGGGCGACATCAACTGAAAGCCACCAAGTCTCTAATATATTACAATCATATGCATAGACAAATAACACACTGCATTAATCTTGTGTACAGGTATAACAGACGACCGCCAATCATATGTGCTCATACGAAACATAATGCATGCATGTTTTTCTCTCCGGGCTGCTACATAAAGGTTTGTCATCATGAGATTACACAATCTCAACCTGGATGCCAAGCCAACAGGGCAACACATACACTATTCAACCTCCGTGGAAGTTATAACTGGGCGGCCTTATTGGCTACACTACCCGGTACAACCAGCTGTCCCGTGCCGGTAAGGATAATATATCAAACATAATACATCCATATAGGTACTATTTATGCAACGAATACTGCTGACACAGAAAATAAATTATTTAACACAGTCATTGTCACTTCTGAAGTAATAAATAATTCATCCAATAGACACTTCTCTTTATTAACAATCATTCAGTCTCCTTTTTACGAAAACGGCTGACAAAAATGCCAGGTAACAATGCCACTAGTGCCACCAGAAACATCTTTATCAACGTCCATGTTGTGAAAATGTCACCAACCGAGGAAATCTGTGACAAAACGCTGCCAGTCTGTACACAGACAAAATTGTATGGCATCAAACCTGCAAACAGTCACAAGTATATAGTTTCAGTGATTTAACAGGGAAATATTTTACAGATCAAGCCGCACTTAACAGGTCATCTGGCTAAAGATTCAACATCAAGCCATTCAGGACAAGCCCATGTTAGCTTCATCTCCCACCTCAACAGCCAACAAAGAGTCTCCACACTGATGGTTCTTGTTGTCATCTGGTCAACTACTGGTCTTGCTTTTTCGCTGGAGGCTCGACTGGTGCCCAGAGCCCGTAGACACTCCTCCCACTGCATCATTCTCTCCTGGTAAGGGTTTTCAATATCTTCCATTTAACAGGGGATGCGGTCAATGTCAACCCAGCAATATTTACTTTCTAGGCATTTTTCTGGCACCTGTTTCAGTTTGGGCTGACAAGGAAGCCTTGGTCAATTATTTTTTTTTTTAATCCACTATGATGTGGATTCTAATCCATGACATAGAAACCGTGGGCAAGATTCTTGCCTAACTCCTCTTTTCACTAATCTCATCTCCCTACGTGGGTTTGGGATCCCATTTTGGCGTAGAAAAACAGCCTTCCCTCCTTCCTCTACCAACAAGCATGGCGTTGAGGTCACTAATTAGAGTTGTTTTCTTCAAAGTCAGTGCATCTGCCTCACAGACAAGGAACCAACAGTGTGCATACAAAAAAGCCACATTTGTAAAACGGATGTGCACGCAAAACTCAAGTTATGAAAGAAGACCAAAGTCCATAAATGGACAAACAAACATAATTTTTCAATCGCAGTTAGCTGGTGAACACGAACAAGAAGAAGATTTTAAGCATATTGCTAATATAAATATATATATTTAACATTCTTATTTAAATAACAAATAATCACAGTGCAAACAAACTTACCAATTAAAACTGATATAAAGAACAGGTGGATGGGAATTCCCACAATTGGGGCAACAATGTTCATCATCCAGTTGGGTGACATTGGAAAGAGGCGCAAAAACAACAGGAAAAAGAACAGGCTGTCCTTGTTGTTGGCAATCTGCAAATAAAGATCCAAAGTGGCATATAACTACAACGAAAGTTATTCAATATTTACCTGACAAGTTAAAAAAAAAAAAAATTTCTAAATCTAAACTGATCATTGTTTTTGTTTTTTTAAGGGTAGGAGCCTCATATACATTACCCCCCAACCCCGCAGATGTTTTTAAAAAGGTGAGGGCTCAAAGGCAACTTATCACAGACAAGTGGAAAAGTCAGTGATCACTGTTCGGTCTCGTTATGAGAAGAAGGAAACTGGAACATGTTGTGAGCACTGGAAAGAGAGACAGAGGCTGATTCTTAACAGTCTTTTGTCATGGCATGGAGGGATGTCAACATACAAACTGATACATGCTGCGGCTGAAAGCAGATTATGGAGAGGCCTTTTCATCCACACAGTCAGCAAGGCATTTGGTGATGATATATTCATATATAAATGTGTATATATACACACACACACACATTTATATGTATTTATATAGATAGTGACACACAGACACATGCTCACATAAATACGCACACACACAGGTATGAATACACACGCACATAAAATAATCTTCAGAAATCTGTGACCCAGGTTAGCCTTCTTGGTCACCAGTGATAAATAATAATTGCTTCACAGCTGACATCCATAACATTTCTAACAGTTTGAACAAAGACAACACAAACAGATTACATAATCTGTAGCCAGGCATTATCATTATGTCTCTGCAGGTGCATACTACACTCAGGTAATTAAATAAGTCCCTCAAACAATCAGTGAAGTTTGCTTTCTCCCACTGCATCATTTCTTCTTCCAAAACATCTCTCAGATCCGTTCTATTACCCAAGATTAATCCAGCGGATGGTGTTGGCAGTACTGCAACTTCTATTCTCTTGTCAGGAAAAGCAGTTAAAGCTCATAAATAAATCCTTTTAACGATGGCTGCAAAATCCCACCCCTTAATGTAACTGCCTGTTTTATGATGGTAAACGATTGTTCACAACTGTCCTTTTTTTTTTTAAAACACATGTGACCTGGGAGTAAAACCTGGTAAAACAGGTCTATGCTGTCTTTGAAAACAAGATAAAAGGCATTATTACAAATTTCTCATGGCAACGGTCAGTATAAGTACCATGTGGTGGCTGTTGTATTGGAGAACTAAGCATGCATGGGCATTTACAGCTCGCTCTTCAGGCAGAACAGTTAAGGAAGCCAGCGGTGCCTTCTCCATAACCACCAGCAGCATGACGATGGGGGGGGGGGTGGGGTGGCGGTGACACAGGCTTTAATGTGGCTGGGATCACAGGACTATTCCCGCGTGTGTGTGCTGAGTGATTCTTTGAGTATGTTCCGGCAGGTCGAGGCAGGCTGGTTACGCAGGCAGTGGCTTGAGTCATTGCAAAACTCTCTTGTGTGTGCAGTTACTTTCAGATTCGTCCCAGGGCATGCAGACGTTGTTGGTAATGAGAGAGCTGATAGACTGGCAGGCACTGCATTAATTGAAGATGGCCGGCCCATGGATCACGCAGACATTTTCATTGCCCTTAGAGAGATAGGACGTTCTGGGGATTTTGGAAGCAACGTGTCCACATCACTTCTAAGAATACGCGAATTGGGAGTAAACATCGGCACAGCCAAGCATGAGAAGCACACTGGACGCACACAAAGTCTTGTTAACCAACATAGGACTGGTACTATTAACAGCACGACGCTGATGAATATGTTGAGAGGGAAATCTGAGCGCCTATGGTTGTGTCCGGAGTGCTGTGAAGATAATCTAACTCATAACTCAATGTGCAGTGACGAAGACTGCAAAAGCAACATTCTGTCTACATAAAACAGAACAAGCATGGTCTTGTAATTTTTTTTTCTTGGGGAAAAAGGGGGGGGTGTAAATTTACAGATAGAAATATTTCTTGGATTTCTAAAAATTACCTTGTCTTGGAATAACTTGATTTTGTCAGGAAAATATTTCACAACATATGACCTTCCAAACGTCCTTGACAACAGATAACAATTGGTAGCTCCCACGGCTGTTAATGGACAAATGAGCAAGAAAGCAAGATATGGTCCAAATATAGCTCCAGCCAACACATTCTGTGAAATTATCAAAGGATGAATTAAAACTCAAAAGTACAAATAAACCAAATGACATATTAACAAGACAAAGTAAGTAGCGTTAGCCACAAAAAAATGTATACACAATGATCACCCAGCAGAGAAATGCATAAAGATTTTCATGTTTAAAGCGTCATCATTTTGGTAGCTATGTGTTGCATTATGGTTATGAAAAGTGTCTGTAGGCTAATGGGAAATACCTTGAGCACCTGTAGTAACTTCATACATCACACGTAACTGTATGCATCCTTTTGTGTCTGAATAAATTGAGAATACAAATTTCTATACAGGTTGTTGTTATTTTGAAAACTCCATGCAACACACTGCTACTGTCAGGCATTCCAAGACTGCAAATATAAACATGTAGATGCACTTCACTGCTGAGCGATTACTGTGCACATATTTTTTTTTGCTTAAACTTTTTATGTATATTTACAACAAAATACATCTTATCCTTCTACAAATGATAACACTCCCTTCTTGTTTAAAAAAAGCACACACATATCACTTCTTATGACTCAATATTCATGTCTTCAGGAAGAAACCATAGGAAATAATTGTTTTTTAGCACTCACGGGCAAAAGACCCTGGTAACATATAGGCATTTTTGTTTTTTATTATTACAGAAATGTAATGATATATTTCTGCTCATTTAGTTTTCATAATCTCAAATATATTCACGTGCATTTCACTCCTTAAATAATATGCAAGTTTAACATGCTTAAAGTATTAAATTACCAATGTGATCACTTTCCATCTTCATAACAAAAGCAAAGAATCTCTAGCACATACTCACTCCCTCTCTCTACATGATTGTGCCATTTAACAACCTCTATTAACCTTTTTTGATAACGTCTTAGTGTTCAAACCATTGTCTCCATCATTAGTCTTTTTTTTTTTCTTGAGTGGTTTTCTTAAGGGTACTATCTTCATTTGTTCGTCCAGAGTTATTTATTGCAGGAGGATCCGTGAAACCAGCACAGAGCCAACCATCGACCAAGGTGAGGTACGATATAAAGACTGACCTTGATTTAAATTTAATAAAAATAAAAAGTTTACTCACAAGAAAGACAGAGCCAGGAATAGCAAATGTTTGTTTGTAGATATATCCAGCACAGAAAAGCATCAGAAGATGGCCTAAATGACTGTTTTTGAGGTGCGAGAGAAAGTCAGACATCTCCGAGATGTCTTCTATGCTGGTGGGAAACTTCAGCTGAAAACTTAACAACAAAGGAAGCATTGTAATTCTTTTCAATCAGATGTAGCTTTCTCACGCGCACGCACGCCCGCACACACACACACACACAGAGAGAGAGAGAGAGAGAGAGAGAGAGAGAGAGAGAGAGAGAAGGAAAATAGGAACTTAGGTTTTGTCTTTCACAAGTGACATATGTCTGACATACAGATGTAATTCTTTGTAGTGTGAACCTCCTGTTACAAGTGAGCTATGTCTGTCATACAGATGTAGTTCTTTGTAGTGTGGACCTCCTGTTACAAGTGAGCTATGTCTGTCATACAGATGTAGTTCATTGTAGTGTTGGACCTCCTGTTACAAGTGAGGTATGTCTGTCATACAGATGTAGTGTTCCTGTTACAAGTGAGCTATGTTGTCATACAGATGTGTTCATTGTACCTCCTGTTACAAGTGAGGTATGTCTGTCATACAGATGTAGTTCTTTGTAGTGTTGGACCTCCTGTTACAAGTGACGTATGTCTGACATACAGATGTAGTTCATTGTAGTGTTGGACCTCCTGTTACAAGTGAGCTATGTCTGTCATACAGATATAGTTCATTGTAGTGTGAACCTCCTGTTACAAGTGAGCTATGTCTGTCATACAGATGTAGTTCTTTGTAGTGTGGACCTCCTGTTACAAGTGAGCTATGTCTGTCATACAGATGTAGTTCATTGTAGTGTTGGACCTCCTGTTACAAGTGAGCTATGTCTGTCATACAGATATAGTTCATTGTAGTATAGACCTCCTGTTACAAGTCAGCTATGTCTGTCATACAGATGTAGTTCATTGTAGTGTTGGACCTCCTGTTACAAGTCAGCTATGTCTGTCATACAGATATAGTTCATTGTAGTGTGGACCTCCTGTTACAAGTGAGCTATGTCTGACATACAGATATAGTTCTTTGTAGTGTGAACCTCCGTTACAAGTGACGTATGTCTGACATACAGATGTAGTTCATTGTAGTGTTGGACCTCCTGTTACAAGTGAGGTATGTCTGACATACAGATGTAGTTCATTGTAGTGTTGGACCTCCTGTTACAAGTGAGGTATGTCTGACATACAGATGTAGTTCATTGTAGTGTGGACCTCCTGCTCTAGCTTTGGCACTGGATGTGCGACTTCAATACCATCATGAGTTGGCACATAGCAGCAAAGTGGCAGGATAGGTTGGTTGTGAGTAAGACAGCTCCCTAGAAGATAGGAAGGATTCTGACAGGATAGGTTGGTCATTAATTAGATAATTCCATAGAAGGTAAGACAGCTGACAGGATAGGTTGGTTATTAATTAGATAATTCCATAGAAGGTAAGACAGATGACAGGATACATTGGTCATTAATTAGATAAACTGACAGAAGGTAAGACAGCTGACAGGATACATTGGTCATTAATTAGATAATTCACAAAAAAGGTGAAGATGCTGGCAGGAATTAGTGTATGGTTAGCTGTGTTGTTCTTCGTTTTAGCATTCATTGGCTGTAAACTCTGGCAGAAAGTTCTTGTTACTCATCCACATCTGGACTTTTAGTCTTGATCCAGAACCTGAGTTTTGCATGGATATCTATTTCACAGATTTGGCTCATTTGTATGCAGACTGTTGGTTCCAGGCAGATGCTCCCTGATTCTAAAGGAAACACCCTAATTAGTCACCTGTTACAACATGTTTACTAGGAAGGGGTAGTGTGTCTCTTTGTTCTCCAAAATAAAGCCCTGGAACCATCAATGGGACAATCATGTGTTCAAATTCTCTCAGATGACCCAACCTAAACTCAGGAATGACCCAACCTAAACTGTCGCTAGCCTAAAATGGGTACCAGGATGGTCTGTCCTGTTCTGACAAAGTAATGCTGATCACCCACCCCAGAGTGCTGATGGTCTGTAAGCACCATATGCCGATGCGCCAAAAAACAATACTTTCATACTTACCAGAAGTTCTAACAGTGCTGCGTGGTCTCGCAGGTTTGAGGAATGGTGTCCGCCTCAAGTGCTAGAGGTTCCAGGTTCAATCCCTGGTAAGGGGTGGGATTTTTTTCACGTGGACTTGGACTTCTAGTCCCTGGTCTCTGGGTAGTGAGATCGGACGCCAATGTGCATTGTGGGGCACGTAAAAAAACAACCTTGGCAGTTGGAAATCGAAAAGAGTAGCCTAACGGCGCTGCCTGGGCAAAATTGGGAGTTCTACCCAAAGTATTTCAGGATCCTCGCCAGTGCTACAGAGCCTGTGCACTGCGCTGAGCTTCTTCACACTCAGATTTGAGTTAGAAGAACGGAGCACTTATGGGTTACACTTGTGTGCCATGATGTTGATCCGTTGTTTAAAACCTCAAAGTATCTTCTTCTTATCAGCATTCATTGGCTGTAAAGGTCAGATCGAAAGTTTTGGTTGCTCCTTCACTTCTGGACTTAAATCTTGTCCTAGAATGTGAGTTGTGCGTGTACATACATTTTAAATATATGGCTCATTTGTAAGCAGATTGTTGGCTCCTTGCCTCTCAGGCAGATACTCATGCAACTTTAAAGGAAACAACCTAATGAGAAGCTTTTTATACATGTGTGTTAGGGGCAGGAGGTCTATACTCCCCCCCTCCTCCCCCACAATGAGGCGCCGGAAGCCACAGGTTTTTTACTTTTATTTTACAAACTAACGTAACCCAAGGTGGCTGTCAGTTACCTACTGTCACTGGCATGGTGGTGAAAGCCTAGTGATATTAGATACAGCCCAACGGTTGCAGCAACAAAAATCACCGGAACCCATAAAATAGACATTCCAGTCCGATCTTCCAAAGAAGGGCTTAATCTATTTGTTGACATGCTTATTTTCTTGTGAAGTAGAGATGTTTACCAGTCAGCTATCATCTTTTTAGCATTGGAAGAGGTGAAGTCTGAAAGTATTTTAAAAAAAACATGCAAGAATAACAAATCAATGTGCATATTATGTATTAATACAATGTTTAAATGTAATGTTTAATTAATAACTGGCATCCCAGCACTCTGGACATTCCCATAAGTGCTCTGTCCTCATCTTCAACAGCAGAGTTCCGATTCTGATGGTACCAGTAACAGTCTGACTGTATAATCCATCCCACCTTTCCCTTGAACACTGAACTTCAACCAGATCCCCTGGTCGCTCCTCAAAGCACCATTCTCCTCAGACTATGATGATCCAAAGGGCCCTTACTGCAGTCAGCTTGTCACAATGTAAACAGTCTTGTTATCATTTCTGATAATATTAGAGCATGTCCAGAAATACTTTCACACAGAAAAGATTAAATAAAACGAAACTGCTGGGCTTTCTTCAGTAGTTCATGTGCAACGTTTTATGTTGTGTTTGGATTATAAAGATTTCGGTCTATACATTTGGCTGTATTTGTGCACATCTTTTCCATTTACTCAACTGAATTTTCCAGTCACATTTTATGTTGTATTTGGATTATAAAGATTTCAGTCTATACATTTGGCTGTATTTGTGCACATCTTTTCCATTTACTCAACTGAACTTTCCAGTGACATTTTATGTTGTATTTGGATTATAAAGATTTCAGTCTATACATTTGGCTGTATTTGTGCACATCTTTTCCATTTCCTCAACTGAACTTTCCAGTGACATTTTATGTTGTATTTGGATTATAAAGATTTCAGTCTATACATTTGGCTGTAGTTGTGCACATCTTTTCCATTTCCTCAACTGAACTTTCTAGTCACATTTAATGTTGTATTTGGATTATAAAGATTTTGGTCAATACATTTGGCTGTAGCTGTACACATCTTTTCCATTTCTTCATCAACTGAACTTTCCAGTCACATTTTATGTACTTTTTAGCGGATAAAGATTTTGGTCAAAAGTTTGGTTATATTTGTGGACATCTTTTCTATTCCTTCCTCTGAGCTTTCTAATCTCATTTTATGTTATATTTAGCCCAGCTTGTCATCGGCTTGACTGCAGTCACTCCCTTTTTACTTCATGTGTAACAGATAAAGTTAAGGCTATCCTCCGAATAACGGTCTGAAATTATCGAGGCTAAGAAAATACCCTAACAGGGCCTCAGTCAAATGTAAATTGCAGACCTCTTTCCGGCGACTATACCCCTACTGCTGGGAGTATCTCCCGCGCTGCTACGCGTGGTGTGGAGGGGGGCTAAAATAGATGGCTGGGACTCAAGAGCAAATAAAATGGAGGAAGCTACAGGAGATGTGGTAGCTGCTGCTAGTGAGTCCCAGCCGTCTAGTTTAGCTCCCCCTCTGTGTCGCTACGCGCAGCATGGGGAAAACTCTCTGCGGTGACTTTAACTCTGCAGAAGCTTTTCCGCGGTATGCGGTATAGTCGCCGGAAACAGGTCCCACAATTTACATATGACTGAGGCCCTGTTAGGGTATTTTCTTAGCCTCGATAATTTGGGACCATTATTAGGAGGATAGCCAAAGTTAGCTCTCCTCCGAACTTCTATCCTGGCCAGACAAACACCATAACACGGCCTCAGTCCTATGAAAAATGCGGACTTGTCGGACTTCCTGCCGAGAAACAAATCGCGGCAAAACTAGGATCGGCTCCGAATAATGAAACAAATGCTCTAACAGGGTCTCAGCGGTATGTTAATTGCTGACCTGTTTCTAATTCTATGCCGCATCGCCGACAGTATCCCCCGCGCGCGCGGATGGGGCTAAACTAGATGGCTGGGACTCACAAGCAGCAGCTACCGCATCTCCTGCAACTTCCTCCAATGTATTTGCTGTGAGTCCCAGGCATCTAGTTTAGATCCCCAACCGCACGTAGCCATCTCCATATTATCGTCTGTAATGTTGAGTGTCTCAAAATTTTCAATGGTCGCTAGTATCGTCTGCAGAAACGCTCGAAACTGTCAACGGTCGCTATTATCATCTGCAGTGTTGCGTGTTGAAATCGTCAAGTAATCCTAGTTTTGCCGCGATTTGTTCCTTGGCAGAAAGTCCGCATTTTACACACGACTGAGGCCCTGTTAGGCTATTTGTTTGGCCGGGGTAGAAGTTCGGAGGAGAGCCCCAAAGTTAAATAATCAGTGGCATAAATGATGCTGTGAGCAAAACTATACTAGAAGTTTTTTGTAATTTCTTCGTTTCTCCCATGATCACTTGGTGTTGCTGCCTTTTTTTTTTTTTAAATAAAGTAGTTATTTGGAGATCACACGAGAAATGACAACAACAACAAAAATTATCATTTAGTCATTCCATCCTTACACTTATACTGGGCCGCAGCCCTGAATCCATCTTTTGTCAGATTCCATTTTCTTACTCTATATATATACTTCGTCTATGGTGGTATCCGCCACCACTTGTTTATATAGCTTAGAATTGAATTACATGGTTTACTTACTGAGGTAATGTTGAATTTGTAATTTTAATCTCTATCTGGCTGTGAGTCCCATGATGTGGACCTTTAGGTATGGAATATATGTATAAGTTATCAAAGAGCAGTTACAGCTGTGAGGGTTGGTGAACTTTTGACCCGACACAAATCGTCGTTAGAATATGGTCCCAAACTGCCTGGCCTGATCTGGCCACACCGGAAGTCGGGGCCGACATTGTTTGTGTGGTAGTTTCAAAAACTTGGAGACGTCTTTTTTTTTTTTTTACAAATCAAATTTCTGCTCCTAATATCATCACATTGTTTAAGTTAAAGTCGACCCGGCTCTCTAGCCGGATTGCGCGGAGACCTGGTGACGAACTCCTTGTGGTCCGGGTTCAATCCCAGGGGTTGGCAGAAAAGCCACATATCTCCCAGATTTACGGTATTTACAATAGAATCAAGGCCGAAAGGTTGGGATATCCATAAACCGAAACTAAGGGCTAACAACTCATAGCTTCTGGATACTTAAACAAACAAACAAACAAACAAGTTAGTCAAGATGATTGACTTCATTGCCTCGGGTTTTATCCTATATGGCTCGGCCTTTCTCCGCTGGACAGCTAGCATGTCTTCCGTAGCTCATACAACACTGCTGATTTGATATTAGAATTACAAGTTTAACGTTTTGTGACCATAAGAGATAAGATCAGGAATGAGATCATAAGAGAACAAGTCGGCACAGAACCAATTCTAAATTACATGTAAAAGACAGCAAGTGAAATGGTTTGCCCACTTGGAGAGAATGCCTTGTGACACCATACAAAGCATACATGGAAAGAGAAGAAGGACGTAGAGCACGGGGTAGACCAAGAACAATATGGAAGGATAACATCAGAGAAACTCTACAACAGCACGATGTGCCTATGGTCGAGGCAGCCAGAAAAGCTAGAAACAGAACCTTATATCTCCCTCGACACCCACAGCGGTAAAAGAGGAAGTGAAGAAGAAAAGGAAGAAGAACGTTTAGTGTTAATTTCTTTTCACCTTTACAAATTTCCTAGTGCTATTAAAGCTCCGATTGTCCTTTGTATTCGTGTTTTAATATCTCTTATCTATCTATCTTCTTTTACCCCACCAGGACACCACACAAGCGATAAACACACGATGACACAAAGTGCCACCATGTGGATGAGGATCACCCGTGGGAGAGGTCCCAGAAACCGCGTTCAGCCATTAGACCATATTTGTGGCCCAGCTATATTGCGGTCCCTGGCAAAAGCCAGAGTAGGGCTTCAAATAACGAAAAATTGCATCCCACAAAGGGATGACAAGATTAATAAGTAATTAATATCAGTTGTCCCATCTTTATATACATTACAGCCCAAATAGGTGGACGATTGCACGTCTTGGAATGGGATATCATTAACAGAAACCATATTCTATTTGCATGATTTATTTTAATTATCTTTTGTCTTTCCCTTGTAGATTTTCAGACATAGCTGTTATGATCTCGCATCAAGTATATTTAATTCAACTTGCATCTGATTCCGTCAGTGAGGCGGAAGAGAAATATCAACCAAGTCCTAGATCAACATACTGTTTTGAAGGGGTCCACTGAATTCCTACGGGAGTGGGATTAAATGTTGTCTTGGAAAGGAAAACGGGCGTGGTGGGATGTTGATGGTTCCACCTCACATATTACAGTCTAGAGTGTGTGAATGCCTAACACGCCATACTCCAAGGATCTGATATGAGGCTGCATGTTACAGGTGACCTTGGTTTCGACAATGGTATCGAGTTCTGACCTGTCAAATGCAAATTACTGAACGTAAAATTGCCTAGTAAAATCATATAAGTTTCTCCCCCAAAACAAATTTGTTTTGCAACATCTTGTAAATGTAAAAAAATAGAGGAATAATGTAGATCATAGTTAATGCTTAGCTGAAATTGAAAGTATTACTTGTAGGAACCAAAAAAGGGACATTTTTCTAACTATTTTAGGAACACATAACCTGATGTTGATGAAACAGTACCGTTTCTGGTAAACTGAAGTACTCCAGCCATATTAAACACCATGATAGTTGGAGAACAGTAATGGTGAGTGTGGTTGCTGGAAGAAATGTCAGCAGCCATATTAAACACCACGATAGTTGGAGAACAGTAATGGTGAGTGTGGTTGCTGGAAGAAATGTCAGCAGCCATATTAAACGCCACGATAGTTGGAGAACAGTAATGGTGAGTGTGGTTGCTGGAAGAGATGTCAGGATATCAAAGATGCTCTGGGCATAGAACAGCAGCGTTGTTGTTTGCACCTTTACGTCTTTCCAAATGGAGGTATGACTGTCACAATCTTATTGAGGTCATGGATGAAGTTCCTCCTCTCCATATCGCAAAGCCTGGGCAGCATTGTAGAGACTCTGTGTTTCCTTTGCATAATGATCTATCGCTCGCCCTGCCACTAAAAGAAAGGTAATACCAGAACGTTTGGAACAACGTTTGGAAGCTGTCGTATCATAAGAGCAGTACTCTGTCCGTGAGTCGGAACTTCCCGCTTAGACCAGCTGCCAGCCAAGGCTAAGGACCTGGTCTGCACTAACATAAGGTTTTCATGTTGCATTTCGTCTTTTCGTGATAAGTACGGTAAAAAAAATGGTTTAGAAAACTTATTAACCTCACTCCAAAGAAATAGTGAAAATCATAACTTATTTCTTAACATAGCAAAAACAAAGATAATGCATACAAAAAAAACTGCCATGGAGAAGGAAATATATGTTAATGAGGAAAGATTGGAAGTGGTGGAAAATTTCGAATATCTTGGGTCACTGGTTACCAACAATGGTGACACAATGAAAGAAATTAAACGGCTACTATCAATTGCTCTTCAAAGACTAAAACAACTGAATAAATTATGGAATTGTACAGATAGAATTACAAAGGTCAGATTTTTAAGAGCATGCATCTTTCCCATTGCAACATACGCCTGTGAGACCTGGACACTTACTAAACAAGCGGAACAGCGCATAAATGCATTTGAATATAAATGTTACAGACAGGTTCTAAGAATATCTTGGGTAAAGAAAAGAACAAATGCATCCATACTTCAAGAGCTGAATATTGAAAAGGGTTGGCTAGTAAAGACAATAAAACAAAGAAAATTGAAAATATTTTGGTCACTTGAAACGTCATGGAAGTCTAGAGAGAACAATAATGGAGGGGTATATGCCTGGGAAGAGAGGAAGAGGAAGGCCAAGGAGAAGATGGGTGCAGGATGTGGCAGATGATCTCCAGATGGGTGTATCAGACGCAGGACATCTTGCTCAGGATAGGAAGGTTTTCCGGAGGGTTGTTATGGCAGCGAGGTTCCGCGAGGGACATGCTACTGAATGAATGAACGGTAACCTCACAAATGCGCTTCTTCGCAAGAAACCGTTGGCACAGCGTGGGACGTCAGGTTTGGTGTACGCCACACAATATTCGGTGTTAACAGGAGACAGAAGTGGTGATAGCTACCCATACCGTGGCACCCGAAAATGCTGATCATGTGCTCCAACCGGCCTCCTGAAATCAGTTTTCTGACAGAAGGATTGAAGAAGAAGAAGATACCGTAGCTCAGTCATATCTGACTAATACCAGACACTTGATTATCAGGGTACCGAGCCACTTTTCGGCATGCCATAATAAGACAGACTTTGTGCAAAGAACCTGCTGCACGATGAAAATGATGTGTTGGTTTTAAGGGCGGGAAAAATACTCAGTGCACAGTAAAGATTATTTTTAAGTGTTAAAATAAACAACAACGCCAATACAGAAAAAAAAATCAGATTAGTTTATTTCCTGGGTGCTTTGCTTGCCATTTACCCAGCACTAGTTAACATAATATGATAGGCTCGAGAATGCCAAAGACTGCTGTTCAGAAGCTTGGCGATTTTGGTTTGTTCAGTGGATACCTTGGTTTACAAATGCCGAACAATCTGGGCACTGTGTATAAAAAGGCAAGTTCACTCAGTTTTTGGCTTCCGGGCCGACCCTGCGGGAGACCTACCCAGCTGCTGTGGCTCTGCACATTAGGCTAGCCAGCATGGGTATGGGCGACTGCAGGGGAAAGCCGGTTGTCTGGCTGATTTCGCGGCGGTAGTATGTTTCCCTAGTTAAATCTGAAATTTCTCTAGTGGTTAAACTGTGTAGAGATATGTCGGTGTATATTCTTGCTAGGAAATAGTTCGATAGCAGGTCGCTATAAGTGATTTGTTAGTATGGTGGTATATTGAAGCTTAACGTACAGGTTTAATATGTTTCGGTTTGTGTTATTGTTGAGGTAATCTCACTGAGCCTATAGTGTCATTATCATATTTCCTTGTTAGCTAGAGCTGATTAGCACTTTAGATTCTGGTCGAGCACGTTAATTGTTGTTGTTAATGTATTATTTGTGGAGTATACGTTAATTTTGTGTTCAGTGAAGTGAAATAAACAGATGGTGAATGTGGTAATCATAGTTCCAGTTGTTTTTGGTTCAGATTAGGACTTGTGGTTAGTGGGCCTAGTTTATTTATTGTACCGCTTATCTAGACTGTACACAGAAGATCTCATGTCTGGGCTAGAATATTTCTGTTTATAGTCCCCGCCTAACGAACTCTTTTCCTTTTTTGCTATCTTGGTACTTAGGGCCTTCTCGCTTCTAGTACAATAACCCTGTTATCAGTGAACACTCAATGGCATGTTTATACATTATATCTTGTTAGTTTTTTAAATGCAATATTCAACCATGCTTGTTAACTGTAACTGTTAAGAGTAACTGGAGTGATTTATGATGCATGTTATCAGCTGTGTATCTGTCAATTGTATTACGTATAAACGGCTATTTAATGAGACGATACACGTACAGTTTAGTTAGCTAGTGTACTTTAATAGTTTACTTTTGTAAAACATAAAAGAAAAATCTACACGGCTATTTGTTGTGCATTATAAAACTAAAAGAGAAAGAAATTAGTTGACACCGTAGGGAACCGTTAAGATTCATTGTAGTTTAATGCAGTGTTTCGTTCAAATGGACATCCCCATCGAATGTTGAATTAAGAATCGACATCATAGCACTCGGGACACCCCCATAAGCGCTCCGTCCCCATCTTCAGCAGCTAACGAAGAGTTCCAATGCCGTCGGTGCCAGTAACTGTCTTCTGATTGTATATCCGTCTCGCCTTTCCTTTGAGTGTTGAGCATCGGTCAGATCCCCTGGTAACTCCTCGCAGCGCCATTCTCCTCAGAATGTAATGATTTAATTGTACTTCTGCACCGTTCACTCGCTCCTAGAGGGCCCTCAAAACGACTAGGTTCTCATACATCAGCTCACCACTAAGTGGTGCAGAACCGGCCAGTCTATTTGCCTGCTCATTTCCGAACATGTCTCGGCCCCTTCTGTTGGTCCTGCGATCATGATGGGGATTCGGTTTTGTGTGTCCACCTTACTGGCTATGCTTTCTGTGTCTGGGATATGAATGTTTTTATGACTATATGACTGTTATTTATGACTGCAAGACTGTTATTAATGACTGTATGACTGTTCTTTATGACTGGGTTGTTCTCCGTATATCCTGTGAAGAGAACCATACGGCCATGTATGGTTATATCGTTCTGCATTCCGGGGTGCTAAACCTTCTTGTAATTGTTTAGGGTGGAAATGGCCTTAAGAGGATTAGGCCTTCTCTGAGTGCACATCAATAATACTAATAATTTGCTGAATAGCACACACTTCTTTTTCTTCTCTGTCGGTTATTCCTCTAAAAGATTCCGCCATCGGAAGACTCAAGGTAGATGCACCACTTGGTGAAAGACACAAGACCTCCCGTTTGCTACCTCAGCCAGTCATTGAAGCTCACTGCTTAACAACCCGTTAATCAGCCTCCGATACTTCTCCATCACAACTCCACAGTTGTCCACACACACGAAGTTTACCAGCTTGCTACATGGCCGCAAAGGTTCGGACCCCACACACATGGGCCGCACAACCATCCATTGTAGAAATCACATTGACATAATTCCGAAGTCCATCTAGGATCCACCAGTCATCCAGACATAATAAAACACTGCTAAAACACAAAACATTGCTAAAACACAGTCCATCCACCCACTAGACTCAAACAAATCGCACACACACAAACACGTCCAAACAGTTAGACTGACTTAAAGCTACTGAGTGACCCAAACTAGCAAGAGACTTTTCCATCCGCGATCAGTTCCGCGTGGATCTCACTTTCTTCACACAACTCGGGATGTTTGCAGTAACCCGTGAACATCAAGCAACCTCCGTTTTACAACTCCAAGTGGCTCAAATGTCTGCACTCACAACATGAATGCCCGTGTGTACCCCCGCTTCACCAAGCCCTGGCTTCATTAACTCTCTATGCCTTACAGTGATGTCGCACACAACGTGTATGTTATTTTGTTTATGTCAATACTTAATGACTGATTCATCCGCTATTTACATTTCCTCAAAGTGTCCACGTATTTCCCAATCAGCTATACGTTGTCTGTTACGCGCTTAATTAGTAATCTGTGTGCGCGGGATCGAGTAACCATGGTAGTTTTTTTCCCCTCGTTCTCCTTTACTAGTATACAGTCGGTTTACAATATCTGCCACGCTTTTGGATCTAGCTAGTCCACTAACCAAAGGAAGACGTACTGACTGTGCAATCAGCCTACTGTAGTCTGGCGACAATCTACTGCACGTACTCATCCCTCCAGGAGGTGCAACAAGTCTTGTAACAATACACTCAACTTCTTCTTTCGTCACAGTTTTGTCATCGGCGTAGTAGTATTCAAATGGTGCCGGAGTTTTGTTTAACTCTCTTTCGTCGTCAAGACAAAGGTAACATTCAGTTGCGTGTTTGCCTCTGCTTGCAGTTGTTGGCCGACGAAGATGCTGGAAAGCTTTTTTCCGTTCATAAGATGTGAATGGTCGAGTAGACATGCAAGGCGTAGGAGAAATGTGCTCTTTTTCGTTACGATCGTAATTTTTTGATAACAGATAAGACTGTGTGGGTTTTTGAATTCTCCGAAGCGCTCTCTGAAGTTCTCGGTCTGTGAGCTTTCTGTTATCACCCATGTGCTCCGGCAGGTGACTATGAGTAGACTTGCTGCATGTAGAAGGGGTTCCTGGTGGCAGAGTTGGTTGTAACTGGTTGTTGTTGTGTGTCTGTGAAGTGAAGAGCGAAATTGTGTAGTTAGCACACTGTCAATATACTATAATGTAAGCATGTTCGGTATTGACATCGAGAGAACGAACACGATCAAATGCCTTAGTGTTACCTTCTACAAATCCTTGTCATGCAGAGTAGCTAGGAAAATTATCGAAAAGGCGAGGGAACGGGGGGGGGGGGGGGGGGGGGGGGGTGGGGAGAAACCTTCTTCTCATTTTTTAAAGGAGGAAATGGCCTCAATATGCTTAAGCCTTCTTTGAGTGCACATTAATAATACTAATAATATGCTAAATGGCACACACATATAACAATATATTTGGGAAAACTAGAAAATGTATTTTTAAAAAAATACTTGAAACTAGAACTTCTGTACATGGTTTGGAAAAAAAAGGGTGAGGGGTCTTTTTACCCCCCCCCCCCCCCCCCACCCCCCCCCCCCCTCCCCCCCCCCCCCCCCCCCCCCCCCCCTCTGTACATTTTCTAGACAGGAGAGTTGTAATGACGCTCACGCGGACTAACAATTAATAGGGGATGGTTGGTGGAAGGAGGGGGGGCGCCTTTAACTCACTCTCCTTACAATTTGGATCCCAGGTTTCGGCACCCCATGTTGGTGAAAGTAGCCAGTACTGAGCAATACCCACTTTTACTTACTTTTTCAAGGGACTTATGCTAAATGTCGTAAACTATGTGCTGGTGGTTAGAGGGTGTCACCAAAGCATAGGTAGAAAACACTTATTAGAGTTCAAAACCAGACATTGAAACACGTAGCGATCTATTCACAAGTTACCATGTGAAACGCGCCATGAAACACATTTACGTAGGTTGCAGTGTATATGAGGGTTTCATCAGACAGTAATCAGCGATGTAATAAGAGTGCACTTCAAAAATGATGCCCATGGGTGACTGAAGCAGAAGGTTTAGTAATGCATGTGTGTGACCTGGATATTTCATACACATAAAAGTATGGACCAACACACACACACATACACATACACACAGATGCGCACGCACGCCTGCACACACACAAATATATATATATAGATACCTATGGTAAGGTTTTCATTACACAAGGGTGGGGGTGGGGGGTGGGGGTTTACTAGAGTAGTCGGATTTCTACCTCAGTAGACACCGAGATCCAATGGGGAAACGAAACAAATGGAGTAAAAATGTAAAGATCCCTTTTCATGCTTTTTTAGGCGCATCGGGCATATAGGAAGAGCACCCCTATTTTTACAGACCATTCGGCACTAGGTGGGTAATGTGGTCAGCATTAGAACGGCCGTCTTTACTTCCCCAGACATACATTTTGGTACCCATTATAGTCTGGATCGACCTGCGACGAAGCCAGCAGTGGGGTCTGATCGCGGTACGCTGGAATTACGAGTCGGACTCGCAACGCCTAAGCCAAGGACGCTGTCACAAAATAATATGGAAATAAATAAATCAGGAAAGTGGTGGCTACTAGGCAACTAAATCAGTCGTGACCAGATACATCATCGCCACTCCCACAGCACTCGCACGGGCAAAAAAATAAGCAGTCATTCACAGGCTGGTCATATCATACTCTATCAACATGTTTAAGAAAGTCACAACTGGCAGTCTCAGCGCTGACTGGAAGTCGCACTTCACCACTCTCACCTGGATCTACACATCTGGATATGTGGGCGCACAAGGTAATAAACGAGCAGACCTATTGGCAAGTAAAGCAGTACTAATACAAGAGTGAGCGGGGCGTTACTGCAAAAGTGAACGGACATTGCTTGAAAACAGAGAGTGAATAATGACAAGTCCCTGACGCCAGCCCTACTGCATGACCTGGGGTTATCGCCTGCAGAAACACATCTATACCTCCCTCCAGGTTAGAACAGGAGACACTACAACCAACTTTTTATGGGAAAAGTAATGTTGAATGTTAAATTAAGAATCGACATCACAGCACTCAGACACCCCCATAAGCGCTCCGTCCGCTCCTCAGCAGCAAGCGAAGAGTTAAAATTCCGATGGTACCAGTATAGATGGGAACAGTACAAAGCATTGGAGGACTGAGAACACACGGGAGCTTAAAACAGGGTCGCCATATGAAAGCCAGTCGTTCCAGCCGTTAAGTGCTAACTGATAATCACATGTTCTAAAAGTATGCTTACCTTGTTTGACTCGGCCGTGTCTACGTGCCGGTTGTGCGCAGATTTGGTTAATCTAGAAACAATCTCTGCCATGTTTGACTCGGACCGTGTTCGTTGCCGGTTTTGCTCACTTTTTTTTATACCCGATGAACCTGGCACTTTTCAAACCCGAACCTGCCTGCCTTTTCCCGGTATCACTTTGTAGTAGTTGCCGCTCATGGCGCTCTGATTTGTGATAATTCCTGTAATGTAGCAAAATCAAATAATAAACATATTTACTGGCACTCATGGGACACACAATGAGAAAACGTAATGATGTAAATAAAATGTCCTTGTACTGGTACTGACAAGGTCAAGGGAATAAAGGCAGACTACAAAACACACTGAGATGGGAATATGAGAGTGAATTGAAAAGGATAAGATGAATGGCTGCATGAGATGAGTGAGCGCCTGTTCTCCAATGGGTGGGTTAAAGGGTATGATAAGAAAGATAAAATAGGTACTTTTATAAAATAACGGAAACCAGAACACCCCTTTCACGTCATTAAAACACTGGGTATATGGGGCTATGTTGGTGTTGGGACCTTTCGTCTTCCAAGATTGATAGTTGGTCCATTGCTAGAGCAGCATTGCTAGAGCAGCAGCCTCCAACCTAGGGGTGCGCCCCTAGAAGGGGGAGGGGGGAGCGGGGGAGTGTCTCAAGGGGGCGTCAAGTAATTTTGAAACTGAGTTAATTTGTTCTTGTATTAATCTGGATTTTTAGCTTTAAAAGTCAGGAAAACAGTCATGCCAGATTTTCCCGTTGTGTCTTTCCCAACGTCAGACCACAAACAGCAGATATCAACAAGCCAATACAGCGTCAACCATCACATTAATAATTGAACACAAATTTAACAGTTTTTGGCGATTGTTTCCTTCGTTGTTTGAGACTTTGATTTATGGGGATGTTTTTCTCCAAGTTCTTGTTAACGGCACTTGAGATTTTTCTCGTTGACCTTCTTGTTTTAATAACATTTTAAAATATTCGGGTATAAGAGGGGAAAGGTGAGGGGGGGGGGGGGGGTACTCAAGGGGGGAATAGACCTAGGTGATTCTTGCCACATACTCCAAAAGAAAAGGGGGGGGGGAGGGGCACCTGAAAACGGCAGGAGACCTCTGTAGGCACGGGCATCATAGCCCAAGGTTTGGTGGTGAGGGTGGCTAACAGGTCCAGTTGCTCATTAAGAATAATTTTTACAGTACGTAACTTCTTTCAAGATATGAAAAGCATCGAGCACGTTCTGCATATTCCAGGTTTCAATCCGAAGCTAAGTTGCATTTCTTTCTGTTTTGTGACGCTCTGGATTATAAGGCCGGTGATGTGGATGTCCTAGCTCCAAACACCCACTGAATCAAACAGACTGTGCCGGATTAACAATTGACTGACTGAGGGCTACCTAGCTGATTAGTAACATTATCTTCTTCTTGTTCTCTTGTGTTTGTCGGAAGATAATTACGCATTGTGCCCGTTTACAACATGGTTATGATATTTGCACCTTTGGGCAGATACATCTGACTTCTGCATGCATTTCATGACCCAGTTAGTCTTCCAGAATCAATAACATTTAAAAATGTCTCTCACCGTCAGAGGCAGACCGTGGCGCTCTACGCCAACTGACAAGGACTTATATTCTTCAACTGCTGTCTGTCGATTTGATTCCAAGATCGATTAGGACCAGCATCGAAGTCCTTCTCTCGTTAGCACAAAGCCTGGGCACTAAAGTGCTAGTTCTAAAGCTTTTTTTTCCTGGCGGTGCGCAGGAACGGCACTTTTAAAAAGCCATAATTGGTTTCAAGGCTACAGTAATAGACACTTTGTGGTGAGTACTATGTCCTTTTTGTAACCAGAAACACTGTGATGAGTACTATGTCCTTTTGTAACCAGAAACACTGTGGTGAGTACTATGTCCTTTTGTAACCAGAAACACTGTGGTGAGTACTATGTCCTTTTGTAACCAGAAACACTGTGGTGAGTACTATGTCCTTTTGTAACCAGAAACACTGTGGTGAGTACTATGTTCTTTTTAAACCAGAAACACTGTGGTGAGTACCAGTCCTTTTCTTTCTAGGGAAAAAGATAAGACCTGGTTAGAGCAAGCCAGTTTCTAGCTGAAGTAGGCCCTAGCTAGAGTTAAATTTGTATCGACTAATCAGTACTCGGCGGGTGATGCCGTCAACGTAGTAGTAGTAGAATGTACCCCACTAGGACATCACACAAGCGATAAACACCCGAAGACAACAAGTGCCACCATGTGGATGAGGATCACCCGTGGGGAGGTCCCATAAACCGCATTCAGCTATTAAGCCATATTTATGGCCGGGCTATATTGCGACCCCTGGCAAGAGCCAGAGTAGGGCTTCCAATTACGAAAAATTGCATTCTACAAGGAGATGACTGGATTACAGCCATCAACGTCAAACCAGCCGCTTTTTATATAGGATGGGTCTATCTGGGTGCCAAGGTTAAATAATGACCAAAAAAAAAAAAAAAAAATGATTCTTGTCAATGCTGAGTCGAACCCAAGAGCTGAAGGACCAGCCCCGGCATTTTGTGGTTGTTGTGGTTTTTCTAGGGAAATTTTTATGTTTCAGGCTCTGGGTACCACTTTCTAATATAACGCAAGACGTTCTGCCGCCAAATCGCCGGCAACTGTGATTGAACCCGGCAACGCACGACCGGCTACAGCTTCTGCTGGGTAGTACTGCTGACGTCACCTGGCCGGGCTAATAATGCGTTAACGCAGCGGTTCTCAAACAAGAAATAATTTATTTTCGTCCGTGCCGATGGAAGACAACTTAAATTTTAACTTTTAATTATCTACATGCCTTCTTTAATTAATTTTGCAATTTTTTAGCCGACTTTTCCCAGTTTGAAAAGCGCTGCGTTAACGCGTTGTTAGCCCAACAGGGTGACGTCAGCAGCACGGCCCGTCAGCTGAAGCCGGTTGTGGCCTAAGCCACAGATATAGGCACGCGTTTCCTATTGCTAAGACAAGAAGTCTTAGCTACTGATATCCATGACGTTCAACTAACAAAACGGTCAACCACCAGTTTAAGTCTTCCCTTATCTAGTTTTAGTCTCGTACATTTTACCCCACCAGGACATCACACAAGCGATAAACATCAGCTGACACAAATTACCACCATTCGGGAGAGGTCCTATAAACCCCTTTCAACTGTTAGGTTATATTAGGGCCCCCGGCAACAGCCAGGGTGGGGCTTTAAGACAATGCATTTTTTAAAAGATGATGACCATCGTCACTTTCAAACGGCTCTTGTCACACTTGCTAATGTCAGTGACAACACTAGCATAGCTAATATTTTATGAAGACCTATTCCAGATGAACGATAAGTCAGTAGAGATAGAAGGATGCAGTGAAAGTGTCAATGGACAGACGGACGAATGGGCGAGTTGATGGATAGACAGCCAGGCAGAAATATAGACACAGACAGACAGACAGACAGACAGACAGACAGACAGACAGACAGACAGACAGACAGACAGACAGACAGACAGACAGACAGACAGACAGACAGACAGACAGACAGACAGACAGACAGACAGACAGACAGACAGACAGACAGACAGACAGATATACAGACAAGTAAATAGTTAGAACGAACGAACAAACTTTTTTTAAATGGTTAAGAATTGGGCACACAAGCCCGTCTAACATTCTGCCCTTCGAGGTTTTCCTCCATTTTCACATCATTTAATTCATGTCTCAAGTTACAGACAGACAGACAGACAGACAGACAGACAGACAGACAGACAGACAGACAGACAGACAGACAGACAGACAGACAGACAGACAGACAGACAGACAGACATATATACAGACAAGTAGATAGATAGAACGAACAAACACACTTTTTTAAAGGGTTAAGAATTGGGCACACAAGCCCGTCTAACATTCTGCCCTTCGAGGTTTTCCTACATTCTCACATCATTTAATTCATGTCTCAAGTTACAGACAGACAGACAGACAGACAGACAGACAGACAGACAGACAGACAGACAGACAGACAGACAGACAGACAGACAGACAGACAGACAGACAGACAGACAGACAGACAGACAGACAGACAGACAGACAGACAGACAGACAGACAGACAGACAGACAGACAGACAGACAGACAGACAGACAGACAGACAGACAGACAGACAGACAGACAGACAGACAGACAGACAGACAGACAGACAGACAGATAGATAGATAGATAGATAGATAGATAGATAGATAGATAGATAGATAGATAGATAGATAGATAGATAGATAGATAGATAGATAGATAGATAGATAGATAGATAGATAGATAGATAGATAGATAGATAGATAGATAGATAGATAGATAGATAGATAGATAGATAGATAGATAGATAGATAGAGGTAGATTAATTGGTTTGAACGTAGATAAGTAGGTACATCAGTAGCTGGACAGACAGATAAATGAAACATACCGTTTCAATGGTCCAGTAGTGTGTCAGTAAAAATGGCTAGTTCCTAGTTCTGTAATCGTGCGCTAGAGCCAGTGCAGTCGATAGCAATAAAATATGGATGGGCTAAATGTAGTCGGCATGGCTCAGACACGGATATCTTTTCCTGGTGTCTCGGAGCAGTGTTTCTCAAACTAATCACCACGAGACATCCACGCGTTTAGGCGTATTGTGTATATAGGACAATACCTGTATTTTATATACCAATCAGCACTTGGTGGGTGATATGGTCAGTACCATGCCCGTCACATTTACTTCGCAGGACTCTACCTCGTACCAATTCAAGGCTGGGTCAAATTGGGAGCCACGCCATTTTTTAAGGAAAAAAAAAACAAAAAAACTCGAGTACTGTCAGGATCTAACCCACGACCTTTCGATCCACAGGTGTCTAGCCGCTGCACAACCGCAGCTCCCTTCGATTTCCATATCCGGCAGCTAATAAGAAAAAGTCTGTATTTGGACAGTAATACGAGAAACGCACTGGGGAATGAATTGCAGTCTCACCAACCAGACAGCAGAAAGCGCAATGCAGTCAGCACAGGTTGAAAAAAAGTT